TGTCACCGACATTAAGTTCAGCCGAACAGTGAAGATCTTATACTCTTAGCTAATCCCTTCTTACTATGTTTTCTCTTATGTTTTATGTATACAAGTATTTGCTATGTACATATGTGTGTACGTCAATCGGTATAGCTTTACCTAAGAATGTTGAAGTAAAGTAAAACAAGTTAATGATGTTTCCGTACATATATACAAATTTAGCGGTAAAGTCAGACCATAGGCATGTTTTTGTACATAATTGCATTTGGGTATAAATGAAAGTCAAATTGTTAAATAGACACAGTTTTTCGCAAGAGGACAAATAAATCAAAAGTTTTAAAGCGAACAAGTATACGCTTAACCGAGTATCAACCGCTATTAAAAATTGTTTTGAGTTCCTCCGAGCTGTCGCGATTAAATAAACGCAACAAAGATACTTCACAATGAACAATTAAATGGCGAAATTGTTCTTCTAGCCAAAACGAACGGATCTAGTGTATTAAAACTAGTGTGTCACCAAATAAAAAAAATTACATTGAGCAAAAGATGACTATGAGAAACTAAAATTCCATTTTTACAATTTTATTGGCACACTCGAAATTCATTTTAAAATTGTTGTATTTATACATGAAGAAAGTAATACACATGCGCATAGGGAATACTGTGTAAAAATAAAATTTCGTTTGTTCTCTATACAAAACTGGTGATAACTGAGATAGCTGTACCTACCTCCATTTTCGACCAATGTAAGATTTGCTCATATACGTAAACATACAAATCTTACCTCGACTGTTGCATGTGGCTTTACAATTGCTGCACTCGAACTGCCGGTCGCCAATGTTTTTGCGGCATATTGGCTATTCGATATAAGTTTACGATAAATTCGACATAAAGCATCTATTTCATCCCTTTAAAAAGAAATAAACATATAAGAGAGTTGAATAAGTTTTAATTTATTGAATTTTTCACGAGTCTGTAATATAACTTAACGATTAAAAGTTACTCATACGACATGTATTAATTGTTATTCCGCTCGATTATTTGACCCCTTTCGCTTGTTTCTTAGAAAATATTAGACAGGTGTAAAGGTCGACCAATATTTTTTATCACCAATGTGATGAGTTAATATTCAATTGAGAATTCAAACACGCAGCCTGGTAATAAAAAAAAAATAAAATCTGACTGCGTTAGGTTGGGCTATGTTAGCTGATTGCCCCCAGTCGGGGGGCACAATTGGGCACTATAAAGGTTATAGATTGTGATATCGCATGATTTTTATGCCAAAGAAATAAATCGTTTAGAGTTGCAGTTCAGGGTAGTTATAAAGTGTAGGCTTAGATACTTCGGTTTTAACCTCGGAATAAGTAATAAGAATGTTAAAAGCTGCGGCAGTATGGTTCAGATAAATTTTTTAGTTTCAACTTACTAATTTCTAATTAGCCACTACAACAAGAACCACAAAATTAAAATAAAAATAGTCTTAGACTAAATGGATTGTCTGTCACGTTTTGCAACGCATGTGTTTTTAGACACCTGCCACCATTAGATGAAGTTCTAATAAATGTTGGGCCTATTTATAGAGACAAGTATTTGACGTTTAACTAAAGCGCTTTATAACTCGGAAAAATAAAAAAAAAAATCATTTTTTTCATTAATGATTTATATGTAAAAGCGCCTGGTGATTGAGATGACTAAAAATAAAATTAGCCCTTTGAATGTTTACAATAATGTTAAAAACAACAAAAAATGAATTATTTATCTTTTTAGGGCCTAACGGAAAAAAATATTACCTCAGCAATTTTTTTCACATTTATTCTAGCGGCGGCCGCTGTGGTGTAGTGGTTAGCAGTGCGCGCTACCACTCCGCAGGGCCTGGGTTCAAGCCCTGGTCAAAGCAACATCGCAAAAAAAATATGAAAAAAGGGGTTTTTTAAACAGTGGTCGAAAACCTCCGAGTGTAGTTCTGCCATGAATAACAGCTTCTCAGAAAAAATACAATCGCCGTTCGGCATAAAACTGTAGGTCTCTCCCCTATGTATGACAACATGCAAGCGCACGCCACAAATCGGAGTAGAAGCTCGGCCAAACCCTAACATATGTGTAAGCGCCTATCTATTATTATTATTATTCTGGCTTAGCCATTGAAATGATTTAAAGAGATAAGACTAAAATACTAAATTAGTTGCACTTAGATTTAAACTTAAGAGCGGCATACCTTAAGTCTTAAAAAAAAGTTAACATAAACAAACTTGAGGTTGAAGTTGACTTGAGAAAAACTTAAAACTACAAGTAATTTTGAAGAAAAAAACAAAACCGACTTCAATTTTAATATACAAATTTAAGATTATCGTTAATTTCTTCATGATCCGATGGTCGAATTTAAACCAAATTAGTATAGGACCACCTGTGAGGTAACACCTTTAAAAAAGAATTATAGAAGAATCTGTTAACGTGGTCCAAAGTTATGCGGTAACATACATAAAAAATAACAAAAAAACAAAAAATATTCCGACGAATTGATAACCTTCTCCTTTTTGTGAAGTCGGTTAAAATTTAATTAACAGCGTTTCGACTAGACTATTTGCCTAAAAAAGTCCATAGCATACAGTTCTTACAGTTTACCTTCTTAAAAATGAATATATATGTCAGCTTTTGAATATGTACATATGTATGTATATGAGCTCAGACTTATGCAAACAAACTACTTTACTGTCAATGGTAACACTCCTTCTTTTCGCAATGAATCGAAAAAATTGCACGCACTGAAATCCTTTGTTATTGCTACATATCGTCCCCTTAATTCACAAAGACCCTAGCCAACAAATTTCTTTTTATTTTACAGGAGAAGCAAAAAACATTATAAAATCAGTATAAAAAACAGGTAGAATTTTTTAAAAAGTGGCATGTAACTCCGTTGTTTGTGGTAAAAACACTGCAAAATTTTTAATGAAAGTTTATTTTAAAACGTCCTACCAAAATCTGCGAGAAACGCAGTTTCGAAAAAAATGTGGGTTAGCGCCTTTGTGAATTAAGGTAACGATATGTATGTACATATGTATGTAGAAATTAAAATTTAATACTAGATAGAAATCAACTCTTTCAAAGCAAATTTACACTCAATACTACACACGTACAAATCTCATTGCAGTAACGTGCATTTACCGGGGCGTATACGTTACATTAACTCATCACCCAAGTAATTAAAAGTTACTCATACGACATGACCCGACATTGCTTAAAAAAGGATAATTATAAACTTGTAGCAAATGGGAGATAACAACATTTTCCAGTATGCTTTTCGATTTTGTTTGCATTTTTTTTAATGCTGCCGAGTTCATGCTTTTTGCATACTTTCTTCATTCTTTAAGTAATTGCATATCGCTCGTTTGCTGGAAGTATCCCAAAGAGACAATTTAACATCAGACCTACTTTAAAGTGGTGTAAAAAATTCGTCACGATATCTGTACATTTTTATTCACATGGAGAAACGCTTTATCCGTGCAGCTTTACTTATTTCCACCATGTTTAGCAAATATAATAAGAAGTCAAGAAACCAAAGTGCGGTTTGATAAATTTCAAGATTATACTTTTTGAAAACCCAATTAACAACTTTAAAAACTCTTTTCTGGCATTGTTTGATTTCTGATGTTAAGATATTCTTCCAGCAAACGACCGCATATGCCACATATGAGAGCACATAACAAATTTACATAGTAATTCAACATTTAAACACTTTTCAACTCACTTGCTAAACTTTGTCTTTTTACGTAAATTCTCCAACAATTTGGGATTCAATTTACCGCTCAACTCGTCCATCTTGCGTTGGCGACGTCGCTTATTCGTCTGTTTGGCGCGCTGTTGTGCATTGCTGGAGTTGCGCTTGCTGCTCGCCAGAAATGCGGTAACCGTTCGCAATATACAACGGCTGGTTAGCTTTGTAGACTTACCCTTGCCACCGCTAGCGCCACCACCTGCGGCGGGAACAGGTGACTTTGCCTGTTGTCGTGTACCATTAGATGGCCGTGCAGCGCTGTTTTTGCCGTTAACGGTTCGACCTGCTGTATTCACACTTGAAGCCGTTTGCGTTACCACTATGAGGGTGAAATATATATAAGAAGGGGAAACAGTTTTGGAAAGGTCTGCTTCGTAGTGAATGAAAAAATAACATGTAGATAAAAAAAAAATGCAAAAAATTGGCAAGTCAATGAAGTTAGCGGACAACAACAACAACAACAATACCAACTGTTAGCTAAATGCGCGTCAATCATGCAATAATGACGATAGACAGCAGACAGCAGACAACAGACAATATGCTTTACACAATAAAAGTAAGGCAAAACTTCAATGCCCTGCCACACAGGCATGCCAACAAAAACTTACACATAATGCTAATTTTTTCATATGCATGTGAGCATAAATATTTAGTATTTCTAATCGTAAACAGTTGGAGCTTATATTGCCTGGTTTTTTGTGTGCTTGATTGATATCTAACTTCCTTTCGCGTCGAGTCGTGGCACCCTTAATATACTCGCTTTGTCGTCGTACTAACTATTTACATGTCTAGCCAGCTGCAAACGTACATTTTTGTATATACATACATACATATAGTTCACTTAACTGCTTAAAATGCCTACTACATTTAGTGGAATTCCTTTTCCCTTAAATCACAATGCTAACTTAGCCATATGAAGACATTTGTATAGCGTGACGATTGAATGGCAGTAGAGGTAAATGATTTTATTAGCTCGATCTCGCACCTCTCCGCCAACCTACGAAAAATATATATCACTCAAATGCTACTGCCTAAAAATATGCAATCACCATGTTTGAATAATACTATTAATTTGTTGATTCCAACACATGACTACATACATACATGCTTACATATACTCATATGCATATCGTTATCCACATACAAACATACACATGTACCTATGGGAAGGTCTACTTCGCTCTGAACTGGTAGTAGTTAGTTCACATATACAGCGCAGCCAAATTTTTTTCATATTTATTCTGTACTAGTCGCAATGGGGTATAGTCGATGTGCTGGGTATGCAATTATAGTTGCATGGCTATACTCAAGCCCGACTCTTGTGCCCTCGTTCGCGCACTCTGGGCAACGTGAGCAACCCATGTGCGAGATGCGGCAACCAATCCAAGTGGGGCTTTGGGTCACGGCAGAAAGAGAGGGAGCTTCGGTGGGGCCACTCCGACTTATTCGGTTTGAGGGCTCACTGAAATCTGCATCTGTGTCTGTTCACCAGTAGGTGCGACTGCAAGCCGGTGTCTGTCTTGGAGCAAGCGGATCGCTATATAAACGCGTATTTGGTTACGAAACCACCGCCATCCCAGCAAAAGGTTTTCCGCTGGGTTTGGGACCCGCCACGTAATAACCACTTCCAGTGAAGAAGCAAGGCAAAGCCTCGGATGAGACCCCCCCTTAATGATGACGACCACGGCAAACGTTTAAAGGACTACGATTTGAGGGCATGCACCTGGAATGTCCGGACCCTTAATGGGGAAGGTGCCTCTGCCCGGCTGGTTGATGTCCTCGTAAGGACAAAAGCTGACATCACCGCCATCCAAGAAATGCGTTGGACGGGGCAAGGCAAAGAATGTCTGGGGCCTTGCGACGTCTACTACAGCTGCCATGTAAAGGAGCGCAAATTTGGTGTTGGATTTGTGGTGGGAGAGAGACTACATCGCCGAGTACTGTCGTTCACCCCGGTAGACGAGCATCTAGCCACAATCTGCATCAAAGTGAGATTCTTCAACATCTCGCTCATCTGCACCCTTGCCCCGACGGAAGAGGAGGATGAGGAATTCAAGGATCTCTTCTATGAGCGCTTGGAGCGCACGTACGGGCGCTGCTCCCGCCATGATATCAAAATCGTGCTTCTCTACTTCAATGCCAGGGTGGGCAAGAAAGGGATCTTTGGAACCACCGTCGGAAAATTCAGCCTATACGACGAACCGTCCGACAACGGACTGAGGTTGAAGGACTTCGCCGGGCCGAAACATGGTAGTGTGCAGTTCTAGGTTCAAACATAAAAATATTCATCAAGCTACGTGGCTGTCTCCGGATCGAAAAACGAGAAACCAAATCGATCATGTTGTGATAGACGGAAGGCATGCTTCCAGTAGTTAAGACGTACGTACACTCCGAGGCCCAAACATCGACTCAGACCACTACCTTGTTGCAGCCAAGATACGTACCAGCCTCTGTACAGCAAAAAATGTGCGCCCAAATATGCAAGGAAAGCTTAACGTCGAAAAGCTGCAATCACAACAGACAGCCAATGCATTCGCTACTCGACTCTCACACCTGCTCTCAGAGAGCACTCTTCAACAAACACATTACCCGCTCATTAAGTACCGCACCGAAAAAGTAGTCGGATTTCAGCGAGCCCGAAAGAACAACTGGTACGATGAGGAGTGTCAGGAAGCTGCAGAGAAAAATGTTGGCTTCTTTATTTATCAATTATAGTGCTGGTTTTTAAATTTTTGCTTTGACATTGCGGGAACATTCCAAGATTTCGAACTAGTCAGCCTATGCATCAGCCCATACCAGTTCCCGAACTAGTCAACCTACATAGCAGTAATTTCAATTAATTTTTTTTTGACTATTTCGGCTTTACACTGTAGCGTTATTTACTTGACGTGGGCATATATACACACAATCAAGCTCATATGGTTGTAAGCTTTATTGTTAAGAAGTAATTTTTAGCAAAAAAAAACCGTCTTCAACTCTTATATAAAAAAAAAATATATATATATATATATCATAATCCACTGATCGGGTCTTAACCAGATTAGTATGGGACCACCTCTGAGACACTACCTTTCCGATGCAAAAAGAATTATTCAAATCGGTTGACGTGGTCCAAGGTTATGCGGTAACATACAAAAAAAAATAAAAAAATATTCCGACGAACTGATAACCTCCTCCTTTTTTGGAAGTCGGTTAATAAACAAAAATACTTACAAACTTGTTGGCATGCAAGTACGCTTGCCAGTTTATGCGATGTATGTACATATGTTAGTTTTTTATGTTATTTGGAGTGTGCTTTAGGGTGTCACAAATTTGGTTTTTGACATGATTTTTATGTAAACATAATTTTTATTTTTTTTTTTAAGAGGGGAAAACGATAATTGCATTTACATACACATTTAAGTATGAACCAGTTGGCTAACATTAAACTTGGTCCAATTTTTATTAAATCTCATATATGTCTATATGCTTGTAACAATGATAAAATTCATAGAAAATATCACCAACTCAGTTTGAAGATTTATAATGTCATAAATTTCAAAACGTATAAAATTTGAGGCGGTTGTAAAAATATTTTCACTATCAAAAAATTTATGACAATACAACTTTTATGCCAATATGTGAATTCCCTAAACATGTAAGCGGGTATTATTTGAAAATTTAACTCCTCCCAAAAGTGGAATCGTTACAACAATCATTTTGTTTTTAGTCTCAACAATTTTTAAACATATGTTTTTAAATATTTTATTTTTTTAAATAAGCAGTTTTGATAAGTGGTCGTAACTCTATTTTTATTAGGGACTGATTATTTCAAAGTCGTTTTTTTCTATGAAGAATAATTGGAAAATTTCAATTTTTCTGTCCACTTTATGCAATTAATAAATAAACAAAAAATAAACGTTATTTTTGATTTTTACTTTTTTCGATAAGTTGTAGTCGTTATTATTGAGACTGCTTTTTAAGACCGATTTTAATCTGAATGTAACGGTTACAATGTGATCGAAAAAACAAAAGTCATAAAATAAAGGTTATATTTGATCAGAAGTATAGGTTTTGGTTTTGGTACGGTCCCTGATTAAAATTAAACCAGCGGACCCGTGAACCTCGTCCCGCGTAATATCATTTTTTATTTAAACCTTTTGGACCAACAATTCACGGTCGATAATTACAGTGTCAAACTTATCTGCTCTGGCTATGGTGTTTTGACATGGGATACCGGAAATGCTTTCCAAAATAAATACTTCGCCTAGAACCTCTTGATACACTTATCCGAAAGAAGACGATTTATTAAAGAACACAATCGCCTTAGAAGTTTCGAGATATTTATAACTGTGAATTATTTGATATCAAAAGATACACCCTAATACAGACACGTATTCCTATACAGTATTTACTAAAGGCCAGTATGCAGACCTCAAGATGACGTACAAGAAATGGCTAAGAAATTTTCTTAAGTCAAATTTCCTAAAAGCAGTACGCAGTTCTTAAGAAATTTGCTACGCTTTCTACTACGGCTTTGTAAAGTTTTTTGTGAAAAAAGAGCACAAGACAAGCCATGTTTGCAACAGAAATATATGCCCGTTCCATTATTTCTTGAGGAGAGAGTGAGGCAACAGGCTGTCACAAGCTGCGAAGTATCAGATGTCAAAATTCCTTAGAGACACACACAAAATAATGGCAACATTTTTCTTAACCGTTTTCTTGAGAGTTGAACACTGGCCTTAATATAGTAACTCATCAGCAAACTATTCATATAACTAACATTTATATGATAGAGATCTTAACTTTTTATAACCTTAATTTCTTCCAAACCGCCCCCCACCTCGCTCTTTCTCTAGGTACTTCCTCTACAATGCATTCAAGTGTTTGGTTTCACACTGCCATAGTTTAAAAACTTTTCTAATAGCATCAACACCATTACTTTTTGGCACGCATAACATTCACTACTTTGGCGAAACTTTTACATTAGTGCTTTTTTAACTGATTTCCCATTGGCTAGTTTCAACTATGCCGTGCCGCCAAAGGATTTTCTTCTTGAAGTGTGAAAAGCACTCGGAAGTGGTATTGTATTTTTGTTCAAGGTTTGTGGAAATTTGCTGAGGAGTGTATGAATTAATTAGCAAAGTTGAAGACCAACTGTGAAAATAAATCGCTCAAAGCGTACCGGATTAGGTAATTAAAATTGAAAGTGTTAAAAGTTTACTTGATTGGAGGAGTTCGAGAATTAAATTGTTATAAATAAATTTCAAAGTGAATGAAATAGAAAATGAATATGGTTAATTTATTCTTGTTATTGCTAACTTTATTATGACGCATAAAAATGCTGAAACACGTAAACTTAATTTTGGATCGTAGATTACGGCCCTGTATACCGTTTTTCTAAATCCGGTAATTTTCGCAAGATATTTTCATTTAAAGCTTGCATAGTTAATGAAAAATACAAACTTAAACAGGAAAAAAATTAAAAAATAAAAGATTTTTTTTGTAAATTGTTTTGATTTGTGTTAAAGCCTGTTCTTTTACAAAAACATCAAGCTATTAGCGAAGAAANGACGCATAAAAATGCTGAAACGCGTAAACTTAATTTTGGAACGTAGATTACGGCCCTGTATACCGTTTTTCTAAATCCGGTAATTTTCGCAAGATATTTTCATTTTAAGCTTGCATTGTTAATGAAAAATACAAACTTAAACAGGAAAAAAATAAAAGATTTTTTTTGTAAATTCTTTTGATTTGTGTTAAAGCCTGTTCTTTTACAAAAACATCAAGCTATTAGCGAAGAAAATTGATTGATAAATAAAGTTGTAAATGGTCAAATGAAAATACGTAATAATTTCTTTTCTATGAAATGTGATTAGGAAAGAATGTTACTTATACGCCATGTACAATCAAATCATATAAAATTGGATAGAGACATTTTGTAAAGAAATTATTGCGCATTTTCATTTGACCATTTGCAACTTTGCTGCGAGTAACATTTTTGATGTTAAAGTTTGATTTTTTTTTCATTCATAATGCAAACTTAAAATGAAAATATCATGGGAAATTAACTGGTCTAAAAAAACGGATATAGATCCGTAATCTACGACCCAAAATTAAGTTTACGTGTCTTGGTTTTGTTTTTTGTGTGCCATTTAAGCGTTTCTACAGTGATATTATTACGCTACAGTAATAATAACAAGGCAAGAGGATTCTTCTTCAGCACTACATTAATAGCACAGCTTCCTTGAATAAGTGGCGGATTATATATTTATTTGGTGTCCCAAACGAAATGGCGGATCATGGTGTTTAAACAGTCAATACATTAAACTAAGTTGACGAACCTAAGTTGACACAGTCCTTTGTTTTGATTAGATACCTAGATACGCGATTTTGTGGTGCCAATCATCTTCGATTTGCATTTTTTTCATAGTGTATTGTATTCTACTAGTCAAGTCCTTTAATTCGATAGCGATATGGCGTTGTGGATTAGGGTCGGGAAAAATACATAATCCGCCATTGTGTGGTGACGGCCATCTTGGATTTAGAATGATTTCGAATTTACATAATTGTATTGTCGTCAGAAATAAAGGTATGTACCAAATTTCACAACTGGTCAAAGCTCGGAACTGCGTTCTCTGCACGAAATAGTCGCTATACTTTTATAAACTAGTTTGATCTCTTACACTACCATGCTTGTACGGTTCAAAGGCGTCGTATAATTTTTGCTTTTCTTCAGATACTTGAAAAATTGCACATGGGCTAGTTCTGATTACGGCGAGATGATGTTACGTTTTTCACAAATTGGAGGTCCGCAGAAGTTTCAGGCTCTAGATCATCGCAATATGCGATACGGAATCGGTAGCCTACAGTGGGGCCAACCGAGATAGCACTCTGTACTTACTAATGATTCAAAAATACCGCAACCGTACCGTAACACTGTAATATCCCACCAAGGGAAGTATAAATTATTGAAATTATTATTGGTGAGCACCATTGCATAAAGATGAACAGTTCAAACGCGAGACAAACATATTTTTTTGTTACACACTGTTTAGCAGATACATACATACATACATATGTACATGTGTGCACTCCATTGCGTCACAAAAAAACTGCCAAATGCAAAACACTATTGTAAATGATATATGTAAAGAATTAATATTAATGTTTTTAATAAATGCACCCACAAACACCAAAAGTTTTATATTAGTGCAACTAGAAAACTTACCCATTTTCCTAAAAGTTTATTTTAATTTTTTCACTCTGCTATTTTAGTAAAATTCCTTTACACTCCAGGACGCCAAAATCGAAAACCTACTTTTGCAGAAAATAAACAAAGTTCCATAGTTTCCATGGAATTCAACTACCTGCTAGTCAGCTACGCCAACACTGCAACAAATTTGAAGTTAACAAGTAGGACAAATTTTCCATCTAACAAAATACCATTAAAGGAGTTAAGGTAGGACGGAAACCAAAGTCGATGCTTGTTTGCAGTAGCTGCCAACAGGACAATAGAATGCGAAGTAATGCAGGGCAACAAGCCGCAAACATTATTGACAAAACGAATAGCTCTTATTAGTTGCAAACTAAACAAAAGTACTAAGTAACTTCATAGCAGCGCTATGCTCAACAATGTATTGATTGCCGGGAAGTTAAGCCAATGAAATGAATCATTCATTAGTTGCCAGTTGTGGTGATGTTTTAGTTTGAAATGAAAAAAGTGAACAACTGAAACACTTTTATTCGCTATTATAAATCTTGTTTTAATTTCACTTTTTTAATATCTTTAAAAAATTGTTCCGTCTCAATGAACAATAAAAGAATTCAAAAATTTTGTATTTGAATAAAAAAAAAAACCAATCGCTTATGCTGACATAAAATAAACAAAATTTTTCATATTTTTTGGTCAGTAGCTTAAAAACTTGGGTGTAGCTGAAAAAATATAAATTCCCAGCTAGAAGATTTTTCAGGCCTCTATGAAGTCCATAGTCCTAAATGAACGTTTTCCTTATACATACTCAAGGCATCGGATAAAGACGAATTAAAGTATGTACATTAGGCATATGACTCTTTTTCCGGAAATTTTTGGATGAAAATGTTCTGAAAGGTAGCTGATTAAATTCCTTATAAAATTCCCGAATTCGGAGCAATTTAAGATATTTCTGAGAATTTTGCAATTAAAAAATAAATAAAAAATTATAAGTGGGTTTAAACTTTTCAATAGGATAGGATAGAAAAAAAAAAACATTCTTAATATACTACTTAACCAGGGATGGGCAGATTTTTGGCACTTAAGGGCCGGTTACACAAAGTCTGGTTAACACTAATCTCCGGTAAAACATCGTTATCGACGTTATCGACTCCATGTTATATGCATGGAGCCGAACACGTCGATAATGATGTTTAAACGGAGATTAGTGTTGACCATATATTGAGTAAACGGCCCTAAAGCCGTCAAAGAGCCAGCAAGTGCTGAGCAAGAGCTAAATCAGTTCTCAGGGTAAAAGGGGTGCACAAAATACATTAAGGGCCGGTTGTTCAATGTCTGATTAGCACAAATCGGAGGTAGAAGCTCCGGTTAAGTACAACGACTGCTTTATCGATCACATGTTGCATGCATGATATCGAAATCGTCGATAGTGTAGTGGTAGTGATAACCCGACATTGCACAACCGGCCCTAAAACCTTCATATATATCTGTAATGAGAGTCGGAGTACAAGAAATTTGAATACGCTCGTCTTCCCTTCATGCTGGCCCTTGATGTTACCCCTCATCTACCACCTAAATGTGCCAAGCCGGCTCCCAAGTGCAAAAAGCTCCTGGGAGCCACTTTGCCCATCTCTGTACTTAACGATTGTATTGAGCTTGAGGCTATTTCTTATGAAAAGATGTTGTGGAAAACAACAATAACTTGCCATAATTACATACTTCTTCCTCGATCAATACAATTATTACTAGGCCAAAAATATCAAAATAATTCTTAACACTCTTCCAAAGTTAAAAAGCCATTTTTTTAATTTTGCAATTTTTATTGAGTTATATGTATATTTTTAAATGTTTATTTGTAATCTTTATTCCCACTTTTGTTCATGTAATTGTATGTTCACAGTTGAATTTGTTATTAGTGGAATTCACGCTTTTGTGTATTCGTTGTATCTTGCGTAAGTTTAACTGAACGAGTGTGTGGTTGTTGTTGCATGTGTATTTATTTTACCGCTAGCAACAACAAATCACACGCTCTTTCAGTTACAATTACACATATTATACAACGAATACACAGAAGCGCGAATTCTACTAATATTACATATTTATTACTTATTATCGTTTTACATTTACGTACTTCTTTTTTTTTCTTCTGAATCTAGGCTTTTTAATGCATTCTTTCTTTGATGATTCCTTAATTGCCGTTATTGATTTGTGTGTTGTTTTTATTAGATATTGTTATTAGTAATAATAGCTAAAACTGTTAGTTAACATCTAAATATATATATATATATATATATGTATATAATATTTGTTGCTTCTTTATTACAGTTTTATTAAGGTTTTTTTGAAATGATTTTTTTTGTATTTTTTTGTGGTTTTTCAAATACATACATACATAATTCTTTTTATGTAAATTTACTTCCGTCTTACTTTGTGTTGTTCTGTATTGATTTGTTTCATTTTGTTGTGTCCATTGTGTTGTTAGTATATTTGTATTTGCTATTGTTTTGTAGTGGTTGTTGTTTGTTGTCTCGTTATCGTTTGTGGTTGGCTGCATTTGTAATTCATATACATATACATATGAAGTTATGTATCTACATGCAATACACAGTGAAACATCAATAAAATTCAAATTTAATTCAATTACTATTTTTTTTTTTAACTATTGGCTTGTTCTTTCACTATTTTATTTATTTATTTTTTTAATGCTGACGCAATGCAAATGTTCCGCTCTAACAAATTCGCGGCGCTACCAACTGCAAATACATAACTTGCTTACAGAGTTTTTCTCTACTAAGTAAATACAATAATTTTTTTTTTTTTATTGCGTTTTGATTGCTGTTGCAGAAAAAAATATGAGTAAAAATAAAAATGCTTTATTGTTCTTCAAATAATTTTTTCGGTATTTTGCATACAGCGTTGCTTAAGTTTCTATGCTTTATAGAATACATACATACATATGTATGTATCTGATTACACTTATATTAATTAAAGTAAATTATATTTCTATATTATTTGTATAAGTATTTAATAATAGTATTGTTAATAATAAAACTCTAACATTAAATCGCATGAGTCATACATTTATTTGTTTATAGTACAATGCCGGGCAAACAAATAGGAACGCGGCTTTTTTTTTTTTGTTTCTTTAATACTAAATTTTTTTTATAGAAGTATAGCTCACTCTCTCTAACAAAAAGCATGTAAGTCAAATTTTTTGATCTTTGTATAAGTTTTATATAAAAATTCGACGAATTTCAACAAATTTTCATCAAAACTTCAAACTTTGTATTCATGACTTCAAATTGTATATAAAAATTAGGAAAAATCGACAAAGCTCTTTCAAAATTTCAAACTTTTGAATAAGAATTTTTAGGAAAAATTCTAGATATGAAGTTTGTAGCCTCTGTTTGATTTTGGATTTTTTTTGCTGATGGTGTCACGCATTTTCCACCATTTAAAAATAATTGTCGAACATACAAAACTGCTTACTAACATTTTTTCTAAAAATTCTGATAGAAATATTTGAATTTTTGTTGAAACTATGTCGAAGTTTCTTAATTTTTTTACAAAGTGTAAAATTCGCACATACACGTTTTTTTTTAGTGAGTCATACTTTCATAAAGATATACTTAACATAAAATAAACAAAAGAAAAATAGCCAAAGCTTGTTAAAATGTTGCATTGGTATTTGTTTGCCCGCCACTGTACATACGTACATATATCCTCATTGCCTTATTTTCAGTTTTGTTTTTGTTGTACATCTTTTTGTTTTCTAATGTAACTGAGTGACATCATTATTATTGCATAGCATTAGCATGATTATATAAAAAATGTTAAAACAATGAAGTGTCATTTGAAAAAATTGGAAAAAATTACCTCGATTTGGTGTTAAATACACGCGCTTTGTTTCTTTTTTTTTTGTAGCAGATGTTTTGAGATACATACTTTAATTTTTGTATTTTCTTGTTTGTATTTATTTCTAGTTATAAATTTTGCTTTGGCTCGTTGTTTGGTGGGCGTGACTGCTTAGGCGAAAGTGGTGAAAGTGAACAACTTCGAAAATTTCGCTAACGCATTTAAAAAAAGGTTATCATTGTAAATAATTTTATTATTGTATTGTATGTTGGCAGATAGCTATTAAAATATTTTGCAAAAATGTAAATACACACATCTTTTAGGCGCGATAAATTCCATGGTATTTTAGGGAGTAAATTTCAGCGATAATAAACTTAAAAAAAGAAAGCAAGTTTATATAAACGTGATAGTTTCAATTTCGGATTTTCGGATTTGAATGTTTAATTAAAAAAATTTTTTTTTTCAGGCTTTAAAAATTTTTATTATTTTTGCGTTTTTGTTTTATATTATTTTATTAATGGCTGATATTCTTTCTTTGCAGCGGCAATCAAGAAGAAGATATTCCTTTTCATCCGCATGACACTAATAAACAGGCGTTTTACCTTGTGTACAGAGGTGGACAACTAAGCTTTTTTTAACGTTATAATGATTTATTCTTTTATAGAACATTTTTTCTCTCATTAAGAGTTTCGCTTGCTTCGTAAGGTAGAGTGCAGTTTGACAAGTCAGTGACTTTTTTTAAATTCCCATGATTTAGAATGCAACGCTGTGCCCGTCAAAAAGACCTGTTAATAGACTACTGTCACATTTTGTGCAAGCTGCGGCTCTATTAGTTTGTGTTTGAGTGCTATTAAAAGCAGAAAACCTAATCAATTTCGACGGAAGTGTAAAGGAGTGAATTTCGTTCACAATCCATAAAATAGCTTGGGTTACGAAATGCTAACGCGCTGAGCATTTTCCCTTGACTCAACTATTTTGAGTTTCCAAACTTGAAGACAAGGATCAACGGCAAGACACTTGCGTCGAATGAAGAGCTCATCACTGAAACAAATGTCGTTTGGGAACTTGAAAAAATCGTTTATTTGGAAGGGATCAAATAATTGGAAAAAACATAGACTAATTGTGTCGAGCAATAAATGAATTTTAAAAAAATAAGAGGCTTTCGTG